GGTTCTGGATATCGTTCTGATGACTCAAGATTTCAGTTTGGACGGAGCGAAGTTATCCTTGGAAAAAACGCATGTGACGACTAAGGTTGACAAACTGGTCGTTTGCTGTTCATTTTGCCTACGTTTGTTGTCATAATGCTTGGTTTAAATGAAATACTTCCTTTCGACCGAAGTGGAAGCTTTGCTATGTTAAAGACATGTCCCCAAAAAGAAACAGGAATTAAGACACAAAGGAAGAGGTATAAAAGTGAGTATCTTAGTCCATGATGTTGAAGATTAATAAAATCCAACACTGCTGAAGGTGATTTGTATATCTACATGTAGGTTAGGCTCATAAACAGACATGCACATCCGTTGGGTCATTCACCAATGTGTTGTTAGAGACTGCAACCAAATAAACAAAACAATAAAGTGCTTGTAATCCTATAACCCTAAGCAAGTTGCAGTGATCAGTTCACGTTTAACTCGCATTTCAGATGACATCCCAGTATATTGCAAGTCCGCATACAGGTCCGTGAACGTATAGGAAATTTGTCTCGCGCTTATCATTTTGCCTTAAAATGGATACATCTACGGTAGGACGCAGTTTGGTCATCATGTTTTAAAGACAATGTAAAATATAACCATAGGTTAAACCATTTATTAAAAAAAAATGCTGTTTTAATCTGAAAAGTGCTATGCACAGCATTTAATATTGCAAATAATAAAGTAATCAACACATATTTTAACTCCTGAAATATCATATCTGGTGAATATTATCGAGAAAATTGTAAATATGAAGCTTCAAATATCAAGATTGATGACATTCAAGCATGATATGTAATAGTGTAGGCAGACAAGGATCAAGGTATTAGACGATTTAACTGCCGTCGCAGCTGCATAATATCATATGGATCATTGATTTTGGATTCGACATCAGGGTTAAGAAATACACACTTGTGTTTTGCTTTTATTTTTTATTTAACAGGCACGAAGCAATTAATAAAACAGAGGCCTATTTTTGTCGCCTGCAAAGCGAGGCGACATAGAGGTATCACTTTGTCGGCGTCGTCGTCGGTTGCGTCATCCGAAAGAAGACTTAACACAGTGCTTCCTCACTGAAAGGGCCTGCTTGTGATTGCTTTTCAGGTCCAAATGTCAAGGTCACCGTTACTATAAATGGAAAATAAGTTTCCGTGCGATGACTTGAGTTTCTTCAGGTCGATCGGGGTCATACTTCATACAGTGGTTTCTTACCAATAGTGCTTACTTCTGATTGATTTTCAGGTCCGAAGGTCAAAGGTCAAGGTCACCGTTACTATAAATAGAAAAAAAGTTTCCGTGCAATAACTTGGGTTACCTAGGGTTGATTGAACTCGATTTTTATACGGTGCTATCTTACCAAAAATGCTTGCTTGTGATTACTTTTCAGGTCCGAAGGTCAAAGGTCAATGTCGCCGTTACTATTAATAGAAAAACTATTTTAAGTGCGATAAGTCCAGTTTCCATGGACCGATCAACCTCAAAACTTCACACTGACTGTTATTCCATAGGATTGCTGGAGTTGAAGCCGAAACACTTATCTCCCTAAAGGCGCTAAACGGCCTTTTCACATTATGGGGAAGCAATTGCAGACAATGCGAGGCGACATATAGATATTACTTTGTCAGCGTTTGCGTCCATATTGGTTGCGTCGTCCGAAACAAGGTTTCCGTGCGATAACTCGACATACCTTGGGTTGATCGAAGTCACCGTTAATATAAATAGATCCCGTCTTCACAATCTCAATGCCTTATGGAGTTGCCTGCGCAGGCGACACATCAACTCCTGTGGAATTCTTGTTAATATTGATATGAAAAAATGCAATTGTAGTTTGTTAACCCGGTTGGAAATAACGTCCATCAGTAAATCAAAGAAGCTCTTTCTTAGTATCGAGGACTGTACTAGATTGGTGTCATATTTTATAGTAAGAACCGAAAAGTATCATATACAAAGAAATTTGTTATGAATCGAATTCGAAAAGGCTTTTGATTCTTTATAACTTGAGCCTCTACTTAGCGACACAAAGCGACCAAAATAAAACTGCTGCACCAATAGCAGCATTTGCGATCTTCATATTGTATCTCTTCTTCCTTAGTTAATGTTTCCTGGCACCTTCCTTGGTTTTTATCCAGTTTTAGCCTTAGTGTTGAACGTTAGCTCAAGTGAGAAAGGCTATGGGTGTTGTCCTAAGGCCGAGCTATACCAAAGTTCTTAGAAGGGTTGTTGCTATACCTTCCTTAACCCATTGAAATAGTTCGGATCTCTGTATTGTTTTCTGCTTCTTCAAACCTTTTATTTCCTAGCGCCTTGCTTGGCAACACCTCACTTTTGGCTTTGATGATAAACGTTCGCCCAGGTGATGAACGCTATGGACGTTGTCGCCAGGCCGGAACATACCAAAGTCCTTTAAAATGGTAGTTGTTATATCCTGCTTGACGTTATGAAGAGGTGCAAAAGGGAATTCAGTTTCTAAGGTCAAAGTCACGTCAACTGTTACTAAAAATGACGAAGAAGGAGGTGGGGTGGGGTTGTCATATTCAGGCACATGGCGGGGTCTCGCTTAGCTGTCAGTATATTATCATTAGTATTGCAAATTACAATGCCATCTATATTCTACATTTACGGAATTAAGAGTTATATAAAAAGGGAAAAGGGTAATACTCTTAGTTATCTAAATCTAATGTTATTTACTGGTGTTATGTTCACATAATACATGGAAATGCACTGAACTTTGAGTGATTTGAGCATGATAGCAAAGAAGATAGTGTTTTTGTACGGTATGCACCCGTGTCGCAAGTGATGTCTGTACATAAATCTGAAATATGGATACCCCTTTAACGAGTATAAGAATGTAAAAGGTAGTTCTAAGTGTTACCTTTCCTCTTTTATTCAAAAATACATGTGTATTATGTGTTGACTCATCATTTGCTTATAATTCATACCAACAATGAACCCAAATATTTACCCTCTATATTTATTTAATTTTCTAAATTTATACCTAACATGTATGACGTTACACATAAGCAAATATTTATATTTTATTTTTGGTAAAATTCATTATTATTATTTCATTTCTTTCATAAATCGGCCACCATACTTTGCACCTAGTGACACTGTACCTACTTGTCAAAACAATCTAGAAAAAAACACTATCCGTCTTCTAATTGCCCTCACTTAGTTCTCCGTACAGCTGGAAACTCTATGTAAGATGTCCTGGCACTGTGATAATAGTATGGATTCTTTAAGAATATCAAATTCAGAATGAAGTCATACAAATATATTTTCTTTGTTCGCTCCTCAAAGGACACGTAACCGTAGCCGTGCACATTGACATTTTAACCTTCCAGCCGATTACAAGTTTATTCTGAAGACATTATGGGGACTCGAGAGGAATCATTTGTGGCCCCATATGTTTGATCTAGCTAACATACCACCGTGCTCTATATACCTTCTTACGTTTATTGTTCTCCCAAGTTCAGTCAAACGTTGCAATAGACGAACTAAGATGGTTTTAGACTACATTCTACTGAAGCACATGTTTCTTCTACATCTCTTTACAATTATAGCAAAGCTGGGTTTGCAGGAACTGGCGAATTAAATTCCGTCCATCATACACAGAAATCATTAAAGGTGAAACGTATCAGAAGACCCATACATGTACCTTCAATTGAACGATATATACAAGGTATGACATGAAGCCGTTTTTGTAGGCAAAGCATCTAATTAAAGTACCAGCCGGCGTCGCGCGTATTGAACTCCAAAATTTCACAAAACTCCTCATAAACCATGTCTTATCGCTGAATCTGTTACTTGTTTATCCAAATTCTTACTGCCATTCCTAGTGCCATTAATTCAGACTTACAGACTTTTTGTAACACACTGTACTTCAGAAGCGAAATAAATGAAAAGAGGATTTAAAATAAATCCCGATCTTTTGATCAATCCCTGATATTATTTTCCTCAGACATGTTTCGTTCATTAGAAAAAAATACTTTACCGCTCTGCATATTAATATACCAGAAACTAAAGTGAAAAATAAAACCTTGCATTACCAACAGGCACCGTGATGTCACTGAGAAATAATCCAATTCTATGTGCAAGTGAATATCAGCAATTTTGTTATACAAGGCGGGTGTCGTCGATGAAGCGGAAGCCCCTTACATTTCAAACACCTGATCCTTTCCTTAAATTTGTTTTCGAAAATGGTCTGCAGAAAAGCCTTCCATTTGTTCACGCTTTTTACTCGTGTCTCATTACGTTTGAAGTGTTTTGTGTGCTCTTCGGGGTTCTCACTTTTGCTTTTGATAATGCCCATTTAATAATGTCAGGAATAACATATCAGGTGTGTTCAAATATATGACCAAGACAACCGACGAAGGTAGCATGAGTTAACTGACTTAAAATCATCGAGCAGAGATCCGTGAGTGAAGAGTAAATATAAATATATTCTGAATTTACGTTTGCAAGCTTTCAAATTTGTAAGAATAAATTCAATTTCATCTAGAACGTCATAGTATTGTAAGCAATTGTATTTGCTTTAAATAAAGAACAAACATTGAAGGATATTTGCCCATTTGGCAACATATTTGTTATGGTGAATGCTCAGTATTTCATATATGTATTATTATTCATTTACGTAGGGCAGTGCATATCTTTAATTTTATTTATGTGCATAGTGTACTGCATGTTAAATTTAATTCAAGTGCACTCTACGTTTATTATCGTCTATGTCCATAACGCGCTGAAGGTTTGGTATTATCCATGTCCATAGTGCCTTGTTTGTTATTGTTTTAGTGTACATCATGATAGATATAAATTTAGAATATAGTGAACTGCTTTTAAGCTAATGAAGACATTTTCCCATATCGCTTTACATTAAAGAATACCATGAGTGTTTGATCTATGAATCCGTTCATCTTTCCATTATAAGAGAATTGCATACGGCTTTTTCTATAACATACAAGGTGACTCTGTTTTCATATGTGGTTATTTTTATGTTCAACTTATATACAATGTATAAAAACAATTCTATATACCGAGAAATTTCCGCCGAAGTTAAACTTTCGCCTTTTCCGCCCTCATTAATGAGGTCGAATTTATCATAACAGCGAATATAAGTAGGCAGTGGGAAAGGGCTTTATATAAGTTAGAAAACTTCAATCCCAATGTAAATTTTTTATGCAAATAAAATATGTATAAATCAAGTAGGCAGTTTGATATACATAAATGTTAATGGCGAAATTAACACTAGGCAAAAGGTAATTTTAACGGTGAAGGGCTAACGTTTGACCGAGCTCAAGCTTCTCTGTATACAGTATACAGAACTATGAATTTTGAGATTGGTGTATGTAACATGAATTTAAGTCGGTCATACAACAAAACTAGATGGAGGAAAAATACAGCTGTGGAACTGGACATAATGGGCAAGTATTACACGTTCTGTAGCACGTGTTCCGTGGATATAAGCCACGCCTCATTATTGACGTCACCAGCTGTATTGGATTCAAACTCCGACAATAGGAAATATTCTTGGTAGTAGCGGGAAGTGTCCCCGATGTCGTTCTTGAGACTAGTAATCTTCTGTCGACGTTTTGAGAAAGATAAACGTCCAGGAAAGCGTCTGGAATAGAAAATCATTTAGTGTCACCAATGCTGATTTCAACATCACGGAAAGATTTATATCAATCAAGTCCAACAGATATATGTACTGTGCAAGAATTATACAAGACGACTTAAAAACAAGTAACATACAATGTATACGGCTATGGGGAATCTGACCTAAAGAGAAAGAACGGGAAGCAGTTTGCTAGTGTCTGCTTCAAATTTGGAAATAGTTTACTTTATTTTGTTACATGAATCATAATTGTGGTTTATGTAAGGAAAGGTAGAGAATGATCAGATAGGAAATTACCTTAAATTTAAAATCGATGGCATAAAGATTTGTTTTGCCTAATCGGAATCTTATTTTTCAACAGAGATATTTTTATCTATTAAGCAGTCGGGTTCTATATACTCCAGAGATTAGCCATTAACTTACCTGACAAAAGCGTTAAAGGGCGGTACTTCCTGGATGAAGACAGAATCTGCTGTTGGTGCGGGAGTGTTGTGGTGGATGGCGGGGGGTAGCATGCGTAACATAACGAATACGGATCGCCCATCTGGGGGACTGTTTGGCGCCACCCTCAGGGTGACGGGGAGGGTCCGGTCTATTGTAGCACCTGGAAGTAACACAAAGTTCTGTGTGGCTATTTGAAGGAATACACTATATATAATGAAAATACTACTGTCAGCTGTTATGTTACCTAAACGTGATATCCTGTCTCAATAATCTGTTTCAGGCAGCGGTGACACAGTTCTCTGTTACACTACAACTGCATGTGCACAATACACTGAACCTTTCATTCATGTACAAGGCGTTCAAAATGCCTTCTTAATCCTTTTTTTGCAAAATTTAGATTCCAAAAACAAAACGTTAATTTCCCTGTTACCCTTTAGTCGTGGTTACTTGAGGACTATGAACGTGAAGTAATGTGTGACATACGCTCAGCATTTCCTCCGACGAAGTAAGTGTCCAGGCGTCTGCGCATGATTAGCTCATCTTCAGGGGTCAATGTCATGGCAATGTGATTGGTACCAATCCATTTTGACTCGTCGTAGCGTCGGTACTCGTAGCCCTGGCAAAAAAAGCGACAATGTATCTCATTCTACATAAACCACATCTTTACCAATGCTCATCATTCGTTTTTTATATTTACACATACACATTAAATGTGGATTCAGGATAATGAAAATCCGTGCAGGTTTGGGGAAAGAAAAGACCTGCTAAAGCATAAGATGCAACTAACAAGGGCTCCCTGCAGACTCGTTTATTTTTCCTATGTCTTCTACTAGGGGGTCATTAAAGATACCAACATTGATCTGCTGCTACGATTGCTACACTTTGAATGTTTTACTTTTCCCAGCTTTCCTATCGAATATATCTCTATCCGGTAATGTCTCCCTACCGAGCCGTCCGCCGTAATAGGCCCTTAGCTGTTGCAAAATCAGGAACATGAAATAATCGGAAGTCATTGATAAGATTCGCAATCATTCAGACTTAATCTACATAAACATATCAAGGTCTAAGCGTTAGTGTTATTAAGGAAATACATTTTCCAGATAGAACTTGCAATTCGTTTTGCGTAGTTAACTGTTTGCACAATAGGAACTTTTGATTTTGCAAAGTCAAAATCAGATGAATAATCTCACAAGCAACATAAATCAATGTTATACATTTTCAAAATGTCAATTATCTACACACGAGAACTTTCTTCCAATTAACTTTACTAACGGTTAGATGCTTATTGGATTACTTTGGTACCAAATCACAATTCCAAAACGTTTTCTTTAATGAACACACGCAAAATAAAATTTAAACCGCGAGTCACCTAGCTACGCGGATATGAGTATCAATCCCAACAATTGACCAATATGAATAAAACCCAGCAATCCCATAGCAATGTAAAAAACCCTAGCAATGTACCAATGTAAATAAACCCCTAACAATGTACCAATCGAAATAAACCCCTAACAATGTACCAATGTAAATAAACACTTAGCAATGTACCAATGTAAATAAACACCTAGCAATGTACCAATGTAAATAAACCCCTAACAATGTACCAATGTACCAATATGAATAAAAATCTAGCAATGTACCAATCTAAATAAACCCCCAGCAATGTACCAATGTAAATAAACCCCAAGCAATGTACCAATGTAAATAAACTCCTAACAATGTACCAATTTAAATAAACACCCAGCAATGTACCAATCTTAATAAACCCCCAGCAATGTATCAATCTAAATAAACCCCTAACAATGTACCGATGTAAATAAACCCCCAGCAATGTACCAATGTAAATAAACACCTAACAATATACCAATGTAAATAAACACCTAGCAATGTACTAATGTAAATAACCCCCCAGCAATGTATCAATGTGAATAAACCCCTAGCAATGTTCCAATATGAATAAACCCCTAACAATGTACCAATGTAAATAAACCCCTAACAATGTACCAAAGTAAATAAACACCAGCAATGTACCCATCTTAATAAACACCCAGCAATGTTTCAATCTAAATGAACCCCCAACAATGTACCAATCTAAATAACCTCCTAGCAATGTACCAATGTAAATAAACCACTAGCAATGTACCATTCTAAATAAACACCTAGCAATGTACCAATGTAAATAAACCCCTAGCAATGATGCAATGTAAATTTACACCAGCAATGTGCCAATCTTAATAAACACCTAACAATGTACCAATCTGAATAAATCCCCAGCAGTGTATCAATCTAAATAACCCCCAGCAATGTACCAATGTAAATAAACCACTAGCAATGTACCATTCTAAATAAACACCTAGCAATGTACCTATGTAAATAAACCCCTAACAATGTACCAATCTAAATAAACCCCTAACAATGTACAAATGTAAATAAACACCCAGCAATGTACCAATCTAAATAAACACCTAGCAATGTACCAATGTACCAATGTAAATAAACCCCTAACAATGTACCAATCTAAATAAACCAATAACAATGCACCAATCTTAATAAACACCTAACAATGTACCAATCTAAAAAAAACTAACAATGTACCAATGTAAATAAACATCTAGCAATGTACCAATCTTAATAAAAACCTAACAATGTACCAATGTAAATAAACTCCTAACAATGTACCAATGTAAATAAACACCTAACCATGTACCAATCTTAATAAACACCTAGCAATGTACCAATGTAAATAAACACCTAACAATGTACCAATCAAGCTAAACCCTAACAATGTACCAATGTAAATAAACCCCTAACAATGTACCAATGTAAATAAGCCCCTAACAATGTACCAATCTAAATAAACCCCTGACAATGTACCAATTTAAATAAACCCCTAACAATGTACCAATGTAAATAAACACCCAGCAATGTACCAATCTAAATAAACCAATAACAATGTACCAATCTTAATAAAAACCTAACAATGTACCAATGTAAATAAACCCCTAACAATGTACCAATCTAAATAAACCCCTAACAATGTACAAATGTAAATAAACACCCAGCAATGTACCAATCTTAATAAACACCTAGCAATGTACCAATGTACCAATGAAAAAAAACCCCTAACAATGTACCAATATAAATAAACCAATAACAATGTACCAATCTTAATAAACACCTAACAATGTACCAATCTAAAAAAAACTAACAATGTACCAATGTAAATAAACATCTAGCAATGTACCAATCTTAATAAAAACCTAACAATGTACCAATCAAACTAAACCCCTAACAATGTACCAATGTAAATAAACACCTAACCATGTACCAATCATAATAAACACCTAGCAATGTACCGATGTAAATAAACACCCAGCAAAACCCCTAACAATGTACCAAAGTAAATAAACACCAGCAATGTACCCATCTTAATAAACACCCAGCAATTAACCAATCTAAATAAAAACCTAACAATGTACCATTCAAACTAAACCCCTAACAATGTACCAATATAATGTACCAATGTAAATAACCCGCTAATAATGTACAGATGTAAATAAGCCCCTAACAATGTACATCTAAATAAACCCCTTACAATGTACCAATGTACATAAACCCCTAACAACGTACCAATGTAAATAACCCGCTAATAATGTACAGATGTAAATAAGCCCCTAACAATGTACCATTCAAACTAAACCCCTAACAATGTACCAAACTTAATAAACCCCTAGCAATGTACCGATGTAAATAAACCCCTAACCATGTACCAAGCTTAATAAACACCTAACAACGTACCAATGTAAATAAGCACCTAACAATGTACCGATCAAAATAAACCCCTAACCATGTACCAAGCTTAATAAACACCTAACTATGTACCAATCTAAATAAACCCCCAGCAATTTACCAATCTAAATAAACACCAAGCAATGTACCAATCTTAATAAAAACCTAACAATGTACCAATCAAAATAAACCCCTAACAATGTACCAATGTAAATAAACAGCTAACAATGTACCAATCTAAATAAACCCCTGACAATGTACCAATGTACCAATCTTAATAAACATCTAGCAATGTACCAATGTAAATAAACACCTAGCAATGTACCAATCAAACTTAACCCCTAACAATGTACCAATGTAAATAAACCCCTAACAATGTACCAATCTAAATAACCCCCTGACAATGTACCAATCTAAATAAACCCCTAACAATGTACCAATGTAAATAAACACCCAGCAATTTACCAATGTTAATAAACACCCAGCAATTTACCAATCTAAATAAACACCTAGCAATGTACCAATGTAAATAAACCCCTGACAATGTACCAATGTAAATAAACACCTAGCAATGTACCAATGTAAATAAACACATAACAATGTACCAATCTAAATAAACCCCTTACAATGTACCAATGTAAATAAACACCTAACAATGTACCAATCTTAATAAACACCTAACAATGTACCAATCTAAATAAACCCCCGGCAATGTACCAATCTAAATAAACCCCAAACAATGTACCAATCTTAATAAACACCTAACAATGTACTAATTTAAATAAACACCTAGCAATGATGCAAAGTAAATAAACACCTAGCAATGTACCAATGTAAATAAACCCCAACAATGTACAAATATGAATAAACTCCCAGTAATGTATCAATGTAAATAAACCCCTAGCAATGTACAGATATAAATAAACCCATAGCAATGTTCCAATATGAATATACCCCTAGCAATGTACCAATGTAAATAAACCCCTAGCAATGTACAAATATGAATAAACCAATAGCAATGTATCAATGTAAATAAACCCCCAGCAATGTACCAATGTAAATAACCCCCAGCAATGTACCAATGTAATTAACCCCCAGTAATGTATCAATGTGAATAAACCCCTAGCAATGTACCGATGTAAATAAACCCCCAGCAATCTACCAATGTAATTAACCCCCAGCAATGTACCAGTATGAGTTAACCGCTAGAAAAGTAGCAATATGAATAAACTCCAAGCAACTTAACAATGTGAATAATTCCTTAACAATGTACAAATATGAATAAACCCCTAGTGATATACCGATGTGAATAAACCCATAGCAACGTACCAAAGTAAATAAATCCCAGCAATGAACCAATGTGAAAACCCCCCAGCAATGTACCAATATGAATAAACCCCAGCAATGTTAAAAAAATGGGGTACAACTCCCATGCTTATCCCCCGCAACACACCACTTAACAAAGTTTCACGCCATTCCTACAAAACATTACGAAGACATTGTTGGTGCCTGCTACGCGAGACTATGTTTCGAAACGTCCTTGTCGCATTGCACTTGTAAGGCAAGACACTTTTCATTTATCAGCCTTAATTCATTGTCAATCTGAATGTAATAATTTGTATGGTTGTTTTTTAAAGTCGGTAAATAATGAATTCGCAGTCACATTTAGTCCATTAATGTGATAAGTTATTTCCGCCCTCACGGTGAATAAACGTGCACTCAGTCGGTTTCTGGTCATGATTTATAGAGCCTAAAGCATGAGTAAGGATGTACAAATCGCTGTTCTTATGGAGCTGTGCTGTCGGTGAGGCAATCCTACTATTTGTTATGGTCAACTTACGTTCGTTGATTTATCCCTGATGACGATATATGATGGACAAATAACGTTGTTTGGACAACTGCTGCCAGTACGAGGAATGACTAATGCTTCATTTTTGGAGTTCATTAGAGTCAGCAGAACGCTTGATAGAAATAGAAGCCCGTCCATTGCAGAGGTGGAATGCACAAATACTACAAATTTCTGGAATATAAAATCAAATTAGTTTTGGAATGAACATTTTCAAAATAAAACAGTTTTATATTTTAATTCAAGACTGGATTTAAAATGGTCAAGTGAATGAGTCGATGAACTGAATCTAACCGACCGTAATTTCAATCGAAAGGATTGGAGCAATGCGTCATATTTTTGTGTCATATACAATGCTACATTTTCATTAAGCTAACCTGAATTTGTCTAGATGCCAAACAGTCAAAATTTCAACAGACATCACGGTGAGTACACATGTATTTGTCAGTTCATGATGGTGTAGATGATACATGGAGGGGAAATCATTGTGGTGTAAATCAGAAACGCTTCTTTGTGCGTTTTTGCTTATGAACATGCATTTAGCAAGTTTGCAGGGTGTACTTCAACATGCAAAAGATGAAAGCTATTTTACATATGAAAGAGGAGGGTTAAGAGTGTTCAGTAAATAAAATAAGTCACTTTTCGATACGATAAATGAAAATGTTGACTTTTTACCTTTATGGAGTTAATTTGTTAAAGTGACTTATGCCTTTACAGTCAAGAATCAAAACTATTTTCCCGAAGAATTGGTTCCAGCCTAACAAAAATCAAATACAGGAAATAATACAAAACAGATGTAATTGGGGAATGTTTTTTTTCAAAAGGTAAAATGGATATGGTGCATGCCGGGAGGATAAAGGTCGTTCCCGGTTATGGTATTTACCTAATATTAATAAAATAAATAGATAAATATATCACGGACAATTTATGATAAACCGTCTTATCATTTATTGTTATAATAGACAGTCTTATCATTAATATTTTTCGTGGCATATTTTAGATCTGTATAGAATGTTGCTTCGTTTTAGGTAAACGGATTTTTTTTCTTAATTTGTTGAAACCTTTTTTTTTATACTGATAGATTATTGTCTGACATTTACAGGGCAAAATATCACAAATATTACTCATGGATATTGTTACAAAAAAAAACAATTACGTCCTACTTTTTTCCTATACTGTACAGACCAAGCGAAACACTTCATCAGAAATACATAAGCCTGTTAGACCTTTCGACACCATAAACTATAGTCTAATGCTACAGACGGCCTCTATGTGTAGTTAACCATTTACTATTCCCAAATAGAATGTGTGGACACGCCAATGACATTATTTTCCTCATTCGGATTGAGTTAGTGTAGCCTCTAAGAGGATTGTCACACGCGAATACAAACCCTTATGTTGTGAACTCGAGGAAAAACATGAAACCGCGTCAATGTAACAAATTGTCGCAAGTAGTCTCTACTGTAAAAATAGAACGTTTTGATCAAAAGACAATACATTGATATTGCTTTCTTATTAAACCATAACGGCGTGTATTAAGATTCTGACAACTGACACTATACACTATTATCAAATATCAGGCAATAGACATTTAACAGTATCAACCAAACAAACATTAAGGCAATAGACAGTAATAGGACAGTATACAGCACACACAAATTAGACAATACACAAACTTAAGATACAGTACCAGACAATAGACGTTTGATATCACATGTTAACATTGGAATTCAGAACATAAATATAACGGGAAATAGACATTTGGCACCGTTGACAAACATAAGATATCGGACATTCACAAAACATTAACAGCAAATGTCAGACAATAGACATTTGACACCGTTAACAAACATAAGATATCGGACATTCAAAATACATTTTCAGCAAATGTCAGGGCAATAGACATTTGACACCGTTAACAAACATAAAATATCGGGAAATAGACAATCGAAACCCTAAACAAACGTTAGATATACGACAATAAACATTTGACACCCTAAACAAACATTAAATATCTGGAAAAAGGCATTCGATATCCTAGACAAACGTCAGATATCGGTCATTATTCATTCGACACCCTTAACAAACATAAGAGATCGGGAAATAGATATTCGACGCTAACCAAACGTCAGATATCGGACATTATTCATTCGACACCTTTAACAAACATAATATATCGGGAAATAAACATTTGACGCTAACCAAACGTCAGATATCGGACATTATACATTCGACACCCTTAACAAACATATGAGATCGGGAAATAGATATTCGACGCTAACCAAACGTTAGATATCGGACATTATACATTCGACACCCTTTACAAACATAAGATATCGGGAAATAGGTATTCGACGCTTACCAAACGTCAGATATCGGACATTATACATTCGACACCCTTAACAAACATAAGATATCGGGAAATAGGTATTCGACGCTAACCAAACGTCAGATATCGGACAGTATTCATTCGACACCCTTAATAAACATAAGATATCGGGAAATAGATATTCGACGCTAACCAAACGTCAGATATCGAACATTATACATTTGACAGTACATTAACAGTTAATGTGAGACAATAGATATTTGACACCATAAAAACGAGAATTCGGACATCATTAAAAATCTGAGATTTTAAAAACACACATTAGAGATCAGACAATGTTAATAGTAGATATTTGACAATATGCACGCACGTTAGACAACGATACACACTGCTATACTGCACTTTCCGAATATACCCGTGTGCAGAATCTGCATGAAGAGTTTCGAGTTGAAAGCACTTATGAATAAATACATGTACATGCAATAACAGATAGATGTTGTTTACGACAACCTATGAAGAACCGATCCGCTCAGATCACATGGTACTTATCAAAGCCCGAGCAATCAGGCCACAGGAAACTCCTACTCAAGGGGGTTACAGTGTATTACATAACTGATTCCTCTACTCTCTTCAAGGGCACGTATGCTTTGAACATAATTTGTGCAAACTGTTTTTTCTGAAATCAAAATATAACTCGGGATTAAGGTGGCTCCACACTTTCGCAATTAACCAGAAAAATTCGTTGAAACTTTCATATAATGGTAATGCAACTATGTAGAGTTGATTTTATGAAAATCTAAACACTCCGATAGTTTGGGGATTTTTTTGGAAAAAATACCAAAAAATTGAATGTTCGTCAATTTTAATATTTTCCGTTTTTTTTTGTGTGTGACATTGTTCGGAACAATAACAACAATAATAAAATGAAAAGAAGCATTTCTAATTAACCCTACAAATATTTTATTTATCGCAAAATATGTAACACATGTTACACAAAGTGTTTTTTATTGATTTTTTACGGATAAAAGTGATTATCTACAAGCTAAAAGCAAACAGGACACAAAGATCTATACATATAGAATGGGAAATTGAACAAAATATACACAATGGCTTTATAATTAATTTATTTTACATTTTACAATCACTTCGATCCGGGTGAGAGTAATCTTCCTTGAAAAAGATCGGAACTTTTTGCAAAGGGGTGACATTTACACAATGACAGTTGTCCCTGTTTACATATAACAAAAATGATTGAAATAAATAAAAAAAATATGATATTAAAATTATCAATTTATTGTTCTTTAATCGAACCAAACTACCCTCAGTCATGTACACTTTGGACATCATTCCACAGTCCGCTAACTCACAGTTTATTTCTAATTACATGTCAGGTACATATGTGACCAGAGGCTATCGCATGGTATGCCGTTCTCACGTGCACTCACACATGCATTTCAAAGGTATCTTGATATTTTACAAAACATTATTTTCACATAGTAAGTAGACTACATTTGTAAACATGATTTAATCGACAGACCGAAACTCCTTCAACAGCGAAAATCGTAACGACCTCGAGCTTATGAACTCGTGTTGCACATGTGAGGTCGGTACGTCCGCATTCCATGCGCTTCTTGAGGTCGTTTTATCTCATGTCACTGTCTTACCGTGAGTCAGTTTATGTCTATGAATTTGAAAGCTTTCTTCCTGAAGTACGTGTGATTATACATTTCCCGGTAAAATCTCGATATCGGGTGTTGACATATCATCGGCACGCACGTGTACTATTGTTTACCAGGGGCCTGTTCGTTTATGCGGAGCAACCGGTTTGTCCGTTTATAAATGTAACAATTTCGGGTATAAATCCTGGCGGACCTGCAAATGTGTATGCANACTATTGTTTACCAGGGGCCTGTTCGTTTATGCGGAGCAACCGGTTTATCCGTTTATAAATGTAACAATTTCGGGTATAAATCCTAGCGGACCTGCAAAAGTGTATGCAGGCCTTGCAAAGCTTTCTCAAGGCTCGCCTGAAAGCAGCATCAGATAACTAGGTCCGACCTTATTTAATAAACGAACAACAGTGGTCCGATCGGGCTGACCGTTTTAACGAAAACGGCCCAGGTGTTACTATAATTTGCACTACGACATTGAATGCCCGATACGCAATACGGAAATGACGACACGGTGTACATGCACATTTCGATCAAGGTAATTGAGTCCGAGCTGTACTTTTTCCGGAAGTACGTCACAAAAATGGACGCTGATGACGATGTGTGGAGCCACCTTAATTGTAATATATATTTTATCAGCTAAAGTAAACTGTATGAGTATGAGTTGTTTGCTTGCAAAACTGTGTTATTCAAATAGATCATAAATACCTTACAAAAACAGTTCAATACTTATATTTACGTTTTCTCTGCCTCTTATGTTCTTTTTTAATTTATATTTTATATTCAAAATTAAAAATGCCCGCCTTATCGACAGTCCACACAATTTCGTTCTTTGAAATTTTAACAAACACTTCAATTTTATTCCACAATTCAGTATCAATACAATTGCGTATGATATGTATATAGGGTGATGTGAGTTTATCAATAGAACACTGAGCTGAAAGTTAGATTTGAAATTGTTTCGATTTTTCCCCGGAACAAATTTCGTGCATGGACAAATACAGTGAACACCGTAAATCCGACCTTGCCCTCCACGAGGGAGTTATTTTTGGAAGTTAATTCGAACTTTTCTCCTTGCTCATTTTGTGAAGAATCCAGGCGTGAATTTATTTGTTGATTGTATGGGAACCTGGCAACAGTCGGTAGATTCTATAACGGCCTCGTTATTTGACATGTCGTCAGAAATCAGGAACCGTGGATGCGAGACGCGTGAAACTGATAGCGTTTGAAGTGAGTGATCTTGCGACGGAGCACAGGTTCGTTACCAAATGTCTGAAATGTTTATGTGTGATGTGACTCATATCAGTAGGTCTGTAACATATGTGTCAGTAGGTATATAGAATATGTGTATTTCAGACATTTGTAACGAACCCCTGTTGATCAGTGCAGTGTAACAGACGATATTTCTGATAAATTGTATGAGCGTTAAAATTGTTCCCCATTGCCGGCATTGGTGATTTCAACCGATGTGCATTTTGTACGATAATGCAGACCTTGGTCTTGTTTCCGTTGTAAAAAAGTGTTTTTTATTTTATTTTGTATTTTGCACATACATTTACAATGACATTGTCAAATCTCAAAATGCCCAGCGATATTTCAGCAGCCGTCATGTTTATTTATATTGGATATTGTAGTTCCGGTCAGTGTTGTATTAATACGCTAAGAATTGTGTCTCGTGATGCATGGTAATTAAAGTCCCATCAACGACACAGCTTTCAAAAAGGCTATAAAGTGACAATGCCATGCAAATGTAAATATAGTGTATTACATAACTGATTCCTCTACTCTCTTCAAGGGCACGTATGCTTTGAACATAATTTGTGCAAACTGTTTTTACTGAAATCAAAATATAACTCGGGATTAATTGTACTATATATCTTATCAGCTGAAGTATACTGTAACATAACAAATTATAAGATTAAGGTGAGAAATTCAAGACATTTTCTAAAATGTCGGCAAAGTCGTATTTTGTTTATGGTGTTTATTACTGTAAATGTATTCCACCTTGTTGATGGAAGCGGTGTTCCCGCTACCGTTGTCTGTAAAGGCGTTACCAACAGTTGATGGCAACGTTCTGGTGCAGAAAAATGCTACATTGTCTCTGTAGGTAATATCTTCTTTACTTCACACCGCAGACTGTTGGCGACAAATTTACTGCTAGAGCCAGTTGATGTTGACATTAAACAGGGCAATCGTGTGTTTCGTTTTTAAATGTCTCCATAAGGGTGACTCGTAAGCATATCTAGTTTAAACCCGCTTAAATAAGTGCATATGTAGCAAGCACACAGCAAGCATCATTGATGTTTGTCTCTTACATATTAAAATACCTACAAAAGAGCTTGCCAATATACTGCTGACGATTTAAAACTGCTGACTATTTTAACTTTGGAATTTTCGCACATGAACAAAGTTAACAATAATGTGGGAAGCTTTAATACGATAAATGTCAGTGATTTAAAAAACAAATACCTACTTTCCAATATTAAAATGAGTTTGCATGTGTTTGCTTGCCAGTTACATGTGATTGTCGAGCCCTATCATGCGTCCTACTAACCACTTATAAATAGACTTCTTAAGTCTTAAGACGGGTAAAACGTTCAATATGCTCCTAAATATATTAAGGGGTGATAAAGTCAAATAGTACTTATCGGTTTTTCCTTACTTACATAACAAATTTTCGGAATTCTCGAATAGTTCCGAATCAATAACAAAATGCACAAATATTAATTATAAAGCGTTACCTTGCTATTGTTGCCTGTCCGATGGAGAAGAAGGTTGTGGCCTTGACTTGGTCCAGTGTCTTAGGTCTAGGACTATATATAGTAGTTTATGAAGCAGGGATACTTGAGGAGTTTCCCGTCACAACAATAAGTGTTTCAGAATTGTTGGGTTGGGGTATGGAAGACAGGAGTGGTCAAGTGTCTAGTTACATTATACATTTCACGTACGTTATTTGTCCCTTACAGCCTTTCCCATGGAAATGAATTCGTCAATGACCAGCGTTTTTCTGAGCATCAAGCATTTCCAATTTACTTTATAAACATAGACCGAGGGCTTTGGAAACCATCAATCCCGCGGCGATATTACAAATTAATATTGATTATAAGGACATTCCAGAACACCTGTTGGTCTCAAACGGTTCAAATTAAAATAAAATAACAATATGGCGGCACTAACATACATAAGGCATCTGGTATAGGTAATGTGGGCAAGCAAGGCGATATCCCATCTCTCGAAAACGACATTAGTTTTATTTCAATTCTTTAAAATACTTAGCTTTGTTATCCGATATCATGAAAAACAACAGAACACTGCTTACGTTCAATGTCCACTCAAAGGTAATGATATTTTTTTCCCAATATTTGATCTTGTCATGAATATTCATGATCCTAGTGTCTGTTTATTGATTCTAGCAAATGATTCCAATTACTGCTTAAATCCTATGCTCTGACCTTACCTACAAATGCAATAATTTCACCACTGCTGACGTGGGCCTCCGTCCATTCATAATATTTGTGTCTGGACGTGTTCCTGTCTGTGAACTCTAGACCCCAGGCCAAGGCCAGCCCCTGTAGCCTCTAGTTCAGGTAAAGGACAATTACAATACCACTTGTAAACACTTGTCTGCATCCAGCAATGCGGATGTAGTCCTTCTTGTAAGACAGTAATTAAATTGTTAAATGTATGTATCACATTCCATACCAACGAAAGTATTTTAATTGTTATCAACAAAACTTAACGTTCAATAAGCGACTTGAAGATGGTATGGTCACGTTTATTTCAATCCGGTGCTAAGGGATATGTAAGGACCCAACTTAAGCATCGGTATTAATATATGCAACTAGGATAAATAAAAGTAGAACTTTAGGGTTCACAATATTACACAACAAATTTAGATGATTCTGTAATAAGGCATTTAAGCTGCTGGCTTCATAAACTATTTACCGACATGATAATATGCCAGTCTCTTTTGTAACCAAATTTAATGCTACGAAATGACACCCTAGCACAATGTAAGATATATACCTATAGGTGTCATATGATTCCTACTTTAATTTATTAGCTTTTGAGAGCCATATCGGCCTCAAATCGAAATCGTTGTACCCAATCGAAAGCAGACAAAGCCAAACTAAAATGCCTCAAAATGCATTTTAACCGTTTGTAAATGTTAAACCGCTTGTCAGGTTAATTAGATTTGTATATGAACTTCATATTTAAAGCCCCTTTGTAACATACAGTGCTGTCAAAAATAGCTTGACATGTCATAAACACATTTTTTCTAACATTGTGTATACTAAACCACGCTTATGTTTTTTTTTATTTTATTTTTATTTTTCGAATTAATTTTATTGTCGAACAACATTTGTTTTTAGAATACTACCAGGGTTCCCTGGTTTCAAGTCTCCTTACATAATCATGCAAGAGGGCTATCTTTCATACATTCATTCATTTTCATTAATTCATCCATCCATCCATTCATTCATTCTGACAATTACTTCAAATTATTTCATAATAATAATGGTGCTTACTACATTAATAACTGTGTCGTGCTACCTTATAAAATATCAGGGGGTATTAACTACGTTAACTATCCTCTGCCGGAAGTTTGCGTCCCCAAGTGTTGTTGCCGTGAGTCCGAGGACACACGTGGACTCGCAGATTATGAATGACTATTGACTGAAGTAAGTATTAAGTAAATAATTGTAATTGATATAATTTAGTTGTTCCTAATGTCGTTTCATGCCAATTGTTTGTTCAATTATACTCAAACTCCGTATACGAGTCTCGAATATCTGACCCAGAGCGGAGACCTGTAGCATACCAAGTTACGTACGTCTATGGCGAGAGCACGGGGCTTGCCACTAATGTCCGAAACACACACATGCTACACTGGTATTGGTCACATCACACATATATGTGCTGTGACCCACGTCACCAGCATAGCACATGTGTGCAGCGAACCCCGTGCTGAGAGCATGTCTCGGCCATGCATGACTCTCGCCATGTGAACACAGGAGCTCGCTTCGATAAACGGACAAAAATAAGAGAAGACGTTCATGACACTGTACTAAGTAACATAGTACAAGTATATAAAAACTATATATGTTATTTATATAGCACTTGACCTAGGAAGGTTAGAGGTCACCCTATGCTTGTTTACATTTCTTTATTTGTATTTTTTTGTTTTTGTCATTCATTTCCTATTCAATCATTTTCATTCGCTCTTTTTCATTCAATCATTTAATCCTTCCAAGATCATTTATTTATACATTCATGCCTTCATTTGACTTTAGTCAATGGCTCCCAATAATTTAAATCCAATATAAACCAATATGCACACTTGCCCTTTACTCTGTGTCTGTTGTATGTCTATTCACTACTTATACATTTAGCTTATAAATACACTGAAGACATGGTAACTAATCCAGGCAGCCTTTTTTTGTCTAAGCAGAAAACTACATTATATATATTATTATATTATCAGAAGTAGCTACGCAATTGCTTCATATACAACATTAGATCTATTTGAAACATCTTGAAAATGTCAAGTGTTTTTTGTCTTTTTCCACTGATAAAGAAGGACTAAGTAACAAATTAAGATGTTTAAATTTGTTCTCACTTCGCTTGAATTCAAGAACTTTATATTTTAAAAGTTCTCACATTTTAGTCTATACCTATGTTATGGAAACAGAAATTAATAGAATTAAAAAAACCAATCCAAATGCTTGCATTCTATAAAAAAAAAAAAAAAAATCATCCATCCACCTATTTAGTCATTTCGTTACCTACATGTGTACTCCTTTAGAGACAGATTCTATTATGTCAATCAGAAGAGCATTTATGAAATGCGTGATAATGTTACCGGGCGGAATACTGTGCTAGGTGGCTACGGCATGGTATTTCAGTGAGATAGCACTTTAAAGCCGGCATCAGAGCCGCGCTATCGAACGTATTATTTTCTTGACTACTCGCCCAATACTTACATTTATGTATCACATGACTACCCTGTTATGAGTCTAATAACACCCATTACATGATTTTGTTTATGACCACACGTATACTTACACCTTGTATGGTTTTGATTGGTCAGTCTTTTCACATATCGTGTGTGTTAATATGCCTAACGTAGTCTTTATAGACAGATAGTATTCCAGATATTTTTGCGGTATACATGTATCAATAGGTTCCCAAAAAATTCACTTTGTTTTCCACGCAAAAAACGCAGAAGGAGTAATCTTGTACGTGCTACGGATGGGTGGGAATACACGTTTCACAATCGTCTTACATAGTCGTATTAAATAAAAAAATGTTACGATTCACAAAAAAATGTTGCCATGGTAAAGACCAATCTTTTTCTCTTCAGTACCATTTTGGGCATGAAACTTGTTGATGTTTATTTGGCGTTTGTGAACCTCCTCCTTTAGCCAGAAAATCGATTATACGGAGAAGTTCACTCGGTAAATGAACATGTAGTCGTTAAGGGGAAATTACACAAGTTATGTGCCTTAAACATCTCTTGAATAACCGTCTCCGGTTATCGGTAACTGTGTCCGGTTATCGGTTTACCGTCTCCGATTAACAGTTACCGTCTCCGGTTATTAGTTACCGTTTCCGGTTATCAGTTACCGTCTCTGGTTATCAGTTACCGTCTCTGGTTATCAGTTACTGTCTCCGGTTATTAGTTATCGTCGCCGGTTATTAGTTACCGTCTCCGGTTATTAGTTTCCGTTTCCGGTTAACAGTTACCGTTCCGGTTATCAGTTACCGTCTCCGGTTATCAGTTACCGTCTCCGGTTATCAGTTACTGTCTCCGGTTATCAATTACTGTCTCCGGTTATCAGTTACCGTCTCCGGTTATCAGTTACTGTCTCCGGTTATCGGTTACTGTCTCCGGTTATCAGTTACTGTCTTCGAATATCGATTTATCATCTCCGGTTATCGGTTACTGTCTCCGGTTATCGGTTACTGTCACCGGTTTTCGGTTTACCATCTCCGGTTTTCGGTTTACCGTTTCCGGTAATCGGTTTACCGTCTGCGATTGCCTAGTATAATGTATCAGACTTTTATGTTTTAAATTATAGTCAAGGGTTTCGTTAAAAAAATTAGGTTTCAAAATAGGCATTGTATTTCCTGATGTGAAGGGGCCTATACTTGTGTATACGTGTAGCACATGTCAATTACATGTACGCATTCTGCGTCATTGATATAGGTGGTCGGTTGGAGCAGTTGTGTACCCACTCGCCTTTGTAAAAGGCGACAAGGGTTTGATAACCTCATCTGACGTGAAAATGTATGGGTTCATTTGCCAGACCACGTGATATTTTCTACGGGTAATTTCCCTCATGTTAAGACCACCACTCGCGCGCTAATATCAAGGCCAAGAAGAGTGATTAATATAGGCTGAAACAACTTGTTTCATAACTTATCTTTTATCTTACGTCATCTACACTATTCTGAAATCGGTAAAACTCACCACTCCCTACGTTTCGTTCGTACATACACTTGATTACTCAAAAGTTTGAAAAAATTCACAAGAAAAACAACGTCATCAAACTAAAAAGATGAAACCACTCGCAGAATTACGTAGAAGGTTTGAATCCCATTGGATAAATTTGCTGTTCTTTCCTATTTTCCCGTCACTTCCTAGAACGTTTAATTTGATTGTTTGGAATTTAATGTATTTACAACAGCCAGGTTCATAAACACCAACGGAAGGAAAGAACATATCAAATTCAGCCTCTTAGATAAAGTGTTGTGATTATGTGTTTATGACTTCCGGTCCGCTTTCCGGATCC